GGGAAACATCTGAAGCAATAGGAGTCAGGACTCAGAGAGACACGAGGAGAGCTGGAGCTTTGATGGAGTCAGGACTCAGAGAGACACGAGGAGAACTGGAGCTTTGATGGAGTCAGGACTCAGAGAGACACAAGGAGAACTGGAGCTTTGATGGAGTCAGGACTCAGAGAGACACGAGGAGAGCTGGAGCTTTGATGGAGTCAGGACTCAGAGAGACACGAGGAGAGCTGGAGCTTTGATGGAGTCAGGACTCAGAGAGACACGAGGAGAGCTGGAGCTCTGATGGAGTCAGGACTCAGAGAGACACGAGGAGAACTGGAGCTTTGATGGAGTCAGGACTCAGAGAGACACGAGGAGAGCTGGAGCTTTGATGGAGTCAGGACTCAGAGAGACACGAGGAGAACTGGAGCTTTGATGGAGTCAGGACTCAGAGAGACACGAGGAGAGCTGGAGCTTTGATGGAGTCAGGACTCAGAGAGACACGAGGAGAGCTGGAGCTTTGATGGAGTCAGGACTCAGAGAGACACGAGGAGAGCTGGAGCTCTGATGGAGTCAGGACTCAGATGCGGCTTTCACACCAGCGCTTTTCCCTTTCTAGCTCCGAGCGAGAGCTTTTCTGGTTCAGCTCCGGTTTCCCTTTTCAGCTCCCGCTCTGTTCACACTGCCCAGAGCTGCCGCTGCTGCGTCATGACGTCACCGTTTACGTCGCTGATTTCCTCCCACAACAACAACGGGCTGGGGACTACGTCGGGTCGATGATCGTGTTGCTTTTAATCATACGAAGCCAGATTAAATTAAATAACGACTTCTCCAACCTTATACTTTTCTCCAGAGTGCCGTGGTTCATTGTTTATTAATGTGTTTCAGCGGCATTTACCGACCGCTGCAGTGCTGGCTGCTCTTCCACGGGAGTTTATTCTCCCGTTAGCTCCGGGTTAGCTCACACGGCTCTAAAGTATTCACTGTCTGACTGTCACACAAGCAGCTGATACATATCCCCAGTTCCCCTTAAGTGAATGTGTGTCAGTCTGAATTGACGCTGTTTGGCATCACAACGCTATTATGAAAGTTTCTCTGGTATAACATGGGTGATGTTAGCATAGCAACCGAAGCTAAACTGACTACTTGCTAAGCCGTTTTCTACAGGCACATTTTACCGGCGTATTTTTCATTATGATTCTACTTGTGATAGTCGGACATGACAACCTGTGCAGCCCATGTATTTATTCCATCCGATAGCTGCTATAATAACAAACAAAACGTCTGCCTGCTCTCCACAATGATCAATAACAGCGAACGGATGGTCAAAGTAAGGTTTCCTGCACGCCTCGACGTAAGAGACGTCATAGCTCCGAAGCTCTTGCCTCTGGACCGACAATTTTTTGGAGCTGGAAGTGAACCGCATTCCGGAGCTATGACGCGCCGTCGCTGCGGTGTGAACAGGAAAAGGCGCCGGTGTGAAAGGGGCAAGAGAGACACGAGGAGAGCTGGAGCTTTGATGGAGTCAGGACTCAGAGAGACACGAGGAGAGCTGGAGCTTTGATGGAGTCAGAACTCAGAGAGACACGAGGAGAGCTGGAGCTTTGATGGAGTCAGGACTCAGAGAGACACGAGGAGAACTGGAGCTTTGATGGAGTAAGGACTCAGAGAGACACGAGGAGAGCTGGAGCTTTGATGGAGTCAGGACTCAGAGAGACACGAGGAGAGCTGGAGCTTTGATGGAGTCAGGACTCAGAGAGACACGAGGAGAGCTGGAGCTTTGATGGAGTCAGGACTCAGAGAGACACTAGGAGAGCTGGAGCTTTGATGGAGTCAGGACTCAGAGAGACACGAGGAGAGCTGGAGCTTTGATGGAGTCAGGACTCAGAGAGACACGAGGAGAGCTGGAGCTTTGATGGAGTCAGGACTCAGAGAGAGACACGAGGAGAGCTGGAGCTTTGATGGAAACACTGACGGTTTATTTGGAGCTTCGGCCGGAGAATTCACAAGACATGTCACGGGCCACGGTCTGACCACACGGTTGAGATGCCACAACCAATTCTGAAGAGCCCTCCTGTAGCTCCAGGTTTTAACTAGTTCAGAGTGTAATGATCAACATTCTTCAATAGATAGACTAAACAGCTGAGGACACTGAATCACATTTGTTGTCTCTTATGGCTCGGGGTCATCTACACCCCGAGAAGGATGTGTTCCAGGTGTCCCACAACAATAACTATCTCTGACCGACAGTTGCCCGGTCACAAACTGGTAACAACAACGACTTGCTAGCGCAGCCCCTCCTTAAGGGAGCATAGCGGCTGCTCGAGGCTGGGCCTCTGCGTCAGAGGGCGAAGGAGGAGGACATGCAGGGCGAATTATTCCCTGACAAGTAGAGTTGCATATAAAGGAATATGTCCGTTAGGGTGCTATGATTTAAAATTCTCCAGATTATAATATGATGTATGAATAAACGGGATGGTTTTTTATTCACATATTTTCAGTTTTTATTGAAATCACTGCAAGAATTGTAAACATGTTCAGTCAGAAGAGGAGGCACAGAATCACGACGGGCAGTGAATGCAACACGATGCAGATTGTTATCAGATCAATCAAAGTGGGCCCAGTGTGTATCCCTGTGGGACGCCAGGGGGAAGCTTACAGGAAGTAAACAACTGTAAACCAAATTAATTTAATTTAAACAATAAAAACACACCAGCCCCCGAGGAGAGGACCCTCTGTTCTTCAAGTTTTTATTATAATTACACAAGTCTTTCCCAGAGTGCAGTGCGTTGATCATGTGATGCAGAAAGACCGTTAAGCCGCTCAGGAAACAAAGGAGCATTTATTCAGCTCTGCTCCAGTCACTCATTATATATTCACTCATTCATCAGCTTTAAGCTTTAAGCTCTCAGGAAACAGTCTGGAGGAAACACACATTTATAAAACTGTTCATAAAAACACATGAACTTATTTACATGAAGAATAAATCATTAATAAATGGAAGAATGATATTTAAATACACTTTATCTTTTTACTGTTATGAAACAATTCAACAATAAATAATGATGTTTAATAAAATCATTAATGCTAGAATGTATTCATCTTGAAATTAGTTTTTTTAAAGTTTGTTTATTTATTATTATTATTATAATAGTATTTTTTTACCAGTATTTGTTATTGATAATATTTTTCTTTAGATAATAATAGTTTTTTTAAGAATCTAAAATATGTTTAAAGATGTTTAATTACATATTATTAATAATAATAATGCATTTTATTTAAAGGTCCCATGTCATGCTTTTCTGGTTATAACCCGTCCCCTTGTGTTATGTAGCTTTTTCTGCATGTAAACGGACCGCTAGTGGAGCCTCGCAGATGGGGGTGCTGCAGCCCCCTTCAGCACCCCCCCCCCCCTTTCCCGCGTCCATTCGCTGTGTCTCGCAGACCCCTCGCAGCAACCAGGAAACCACACCAGTAATCCAGCTCACACTGTCCGCTCCTCGAGCCTCAAAGGGCGGAGCAGCGGGCCCCCCAACGTCCCCCCAACACGGCCCCCAGACCCCACGCAGCATTCTCATCTGTTTGTCATTACTGGTGTCATTTCCTGGTTGCTAACAAACGCCATTGTAACACATAATCACTGATGTTCCGCTGTAACGGTGGTGGACTCATCAGAACAGAGTGGGCGAGCTGACCAATCAGAGCACAGTGGGCTCACAGGGAGGGGGGGGGGCAGGAGCTCCAACAAGGCGTGTAGGACAGAGAGTGAATACACATACTATACAGCAGGGGTCGGCAACCTTTTTGATATGAAGTGCCATTCTAAAAAAAAATGTTTATCAGCGTGCCGACGATCGTGAATTATCAACGGGGGGGGGGGGGCTTGGGGTGTTGAAGAGCTCGACGAAAACACTCGTGAAAAGTGATGTTTAAAACTCAGTTAATGGGGCTCATTCACTGGCGCTTCCACAAACAACAACCAACATAATTGTTACATTCAAATGAAGTAGCCTACATTATTCAAGTTTACATTAACTTTGGATAATAAAACGGGAGAAATGAGCGGAAGCGCTCTCTTTTCCTCTCTCCCCCTCTCTCTCTCTCTCTGTCCTGACAGCCTGCCAGTATCTCAAGCAGCTCACTGATCCAGTAATGAGTGACAGAAATATATGTATAACTAGTTCCAAAGGTAGATCAAATAGCTAAGTGTGTTAGGTCTAACTCTTGTGTGTTCTGCTCCGCTCACCGGTCCGTCACAGCGGGTGGAGCTGCAGGATTTCTGCTTCACACACGCTGCATACCGCTATTTTATTGTCTTTTTCGGACACCTTAAAATACTGCCAGACTGGTGAAGCGATTTTGGCGAGCTTGTTTTGCCGCACACAGAGAAAAGTGTCATGTATGTTACGTCTCGCAATCTGCCTTTTTGAGTGGGGCTGCGTTGCGTGCATGGCTTCCTTCTGCAGGTAACGGGGAGACGCGCTCTGGCGGCGGTCTCGTTCAGGATCCGAAAATAAAATAAATATTTTGTACACTTATTCCACTTATTCCTAGTGTGCCACTGGTTACGGTGCCGCGTGCCGTTGGTGGCACGCGTGCCAGGGGTTGCCGACCCCTGCTATACAGAGATGCTGTATGAGAAACCAATGTGAGTTTGGAACATTGAACAATGTCAATCTATTCTAGTAGACCTCAACAATGGAACTATGATCAGTAGAAATGGCCATGAGACATGGGACCTTTTAAGAGAACTTTTCTAAGAGTAAACATTTAACAAGGAATTAATAATATGTTGTAACCTTTAAAAAAATCTAAATGTGTTTACAAATAAATGATTAACCATATGTAAATCACAAATATGTAAATAATATTTAAAACCCTTTTATATATATATTTAAACTGTTTAATGAGTGCAACAATATATTGATAAAGTAAACAATAACATTGAAGCATTAATATTGATTTAATTGCTTTTAAACAATAATATTTATATTTTCTAAAGTGCAAACAAATAAAAGTTCACCTTAGTGTTATAGAAATTATTTAAATCCCTGCAACAACAATATATAATTTAAAGGCATTTAAAAATAAAGTAAACACATGTTGTTTGTTGTTGTTGTTCAGTCAGAGAGCAGAGGGGAGTGCTCGCTGGTCGTTGGACTTTCTGAAACCATTCTATACAAACAGAAATAAAGTTATTAAAATACACGAGGTAATAATATTACAAAATATATTTGAGGAATATCCCAAACAGAGAATATAAAATTAATTAATAAATTAAAGTACATGTACCTCTGGGAGGGGGGGTGTCTCAGGTAATAAACAGCCAGCAGCAGAGCCTGAGGAGACAGAGCTCATGACTTCACATGATGACACACACACACACACACACACACACACACACACACACACACACACACACACACACACACACACACACACACACACACACACACACACACACACACACACACACACACACACACACACACACACACACACACACACACACACACACACACTGTGTGACCCTCAGCAGGAGGTCAGGAGGCTGACCCCTAAATTCTACCGGGTCCGTCTGCTGCACGTTACGGGCGCGTCGCGGTTTTGGTCCGGCCTCCCCCGGCGTCATACCCTACCAGGCGCGTTTCAGAAGCATTTCAGAAGCGGAGAGTCTTGCCTGCCGGCTCGCAGTTTTTGTTGATTTGGGCATATTTCCTGGACAGGCTACTTTGTACAGACAAAGTTAATAATAACTGTAATATTCCAGTTATAAACGACATGAATCAAAGACGTGTTGCTGTATTTTAGTGGTAAAAAAAATGCATTCATCATCATAATTATTCTATATATATAATTTACACAGTGCCTGTAAACCGGAGGAGAACGCTGGCATTTCTCCTCCTACTTGAAAGACTACGGAGGGATAGGGTCTGCAAAATTAGTTTGTGTGTGTGTATATATATAGGTCTATATAGCTCTGAACGTTCCACTTCCTGCCTGCCCGACCTTACGTTACGGCTGCGCCGCGACAAAAATAGGATTCGATCCTAATTTTAGAAAAGCCCTGCGCCGAGCCGCTTCTGGGACGCTTCTGAGCCGTAACGCGCCGCGTGTGGTGGAATAGCACCCATTGACTAGAGTGGCCGCGATCACCTTGAGCACCGCGGCGCAGCCGTAACGCGTCCGTAACGCGCCGCAGACGGACCCGGTGGAATCTAGGGGTGAGAGCTGCTGCTGATTGGCTGATAAACTGAGAGTCTTTCAGGTTTTATAACGAGTAAAATACATTCACAGAGATTTACTCTCAAGTGTTTTGCAACAGAAAAAAAAGCATTGCAGTGTCGGTGCTTCTGCAGATCCAAACGTTATGTTTAGAAAAGTTCTATTTTTAAATCCAAATGTATTTATTTTTCAGAAATTCGTATTTTTAAATCCATAGGCGCTTTCACACCGGAATACTTTACCCAGGAATAGTTCCAATAGTTCTTGGGATTTTGCGTTCACACCAAAAAGATCTGGAACTAGAACTTAGTTCCTTTTCAGTCCCTGCTAGAGAGGTGGTACCTTCCTGGGGAGGAAAAGGTTCCAATTTCTGATTGGCTGGGCGGAATGCAAACCACGCCCCGTAAAACTCCGAAAAGTTTTGTGAAGCCGCCATTTTTATTTGCTCGCATTAGCATTATTAGCATTAGCATTAGCCCAGCGCACCAACGGAGAGAGACTAACTTATGGCAACACAAAAGAAAACATGAGAGTGATGAGGAGGTGTCGGCGTTCTGGCGATTTACTGCCACCCGAAGTCCCGGAGTCCCCCGCGGGTGGCAGTATACGCCGTGAAGTTGTTTGCGGCCTGCCAGTAAACCCAAAGCAGAAGAAGAAGAAGTGACGTCACCGGCTCATTTGCCTAATCCTCCCTCAGGGACTGATTCCCGTTTGAACGCGATCTACTAGAAAGTTCCAGAACGAAAGAGTTCGGTGGGACTAAGTACTGGGAACTAACTACGGCAAAGTACTTGGTGTGAAAGCGGCTA